ACAATCATTTCGGCTATTCCAGAGCAATGGAAGATTATTCTGGACCCATAGAGCCTGAACCCCCCAGGGACATGGTACACTGACAAGTTGGCTCATGTCAGTACGGAGTTTTGGAAGATTACCTGCTATGACGAAGAAGGCGGCTGCATATTTGAACTATGGCGGACAAGAAGCAATCAGCATCCTACTCATCTAGTGTTGGCCGAGGACGAAGAGCGACCTAGTAGACCACCTCCTGTCCTGACACAAGTCAGAGTCAGGGAAGTGTGTAACGAGGAAGGGGAGTGGACAGCAACCCTGTGGGCCAGCGGTAAACCACTTGCAGATTGCATAATTGATCCCACACAACGGACATGGAGGGGTAGGGGTGCAGGAGACTCAGATCTGTCAGTGTTGGAGTACTCGGTGGACCTGAGTTACAAGATTCAAAACATGTCAAGATCCCCTCAAATGGTAGCAGCGGATAGATGGATGAGAGTACTCCACGTAGAACCGGAATATGTTATTAGGGTTGTGCTCCGATGCTGGCAGCAACTTTACCTGGTGCCGGCACAAAGACTTGCAGTCACCCCGTGGCTTCTTTCCCTGTTAGCCACCCCCTCAGCATTATGGCTCAGAGAGAGAGGTATAAACGTTGATGCAACCCGCAAGAGATGTCAGTGGGCGTATGAGTCATCGATCCACCTCTGGTGGGACTGCCCAGCTTCAGCCCGAATTTGGAGATGGTGGGCTAAGATCTGGGATGAGATTTCAAAAAATGCGTTTCAGTGGGACAAACTTTGGGTTTTATTGGGTGGAATCCCACAGAACCTCCTACTAGATGAAGGGTGGGGGTACATAGCTCAGGTAGTACGGGCAATCGGTTTCGCAATCATCTGGTCGGGGCGAAACAAACAGGTCTTCAATGCAGAGGACGTAGCAGACAAAGAGCAGGTCAATATGTTCAAGCGGCAGATTAGATTGGCAATCGCAGCGGACTGGAGGATGAAAGTGATGAGGTCATCCGATAATCGGCAAGGTAGGAGGTGGTTTGGCAATACATGGGCCAACAATGGCAAACTGGTGTCGATAAAGGGAGACAATATGTTGGTATTTTCAGACTGGCTTCAGAAGGGAGGAGAGACAGTTAACGGAGGCCCAAAATTTCAGCATTTTTTTCATGCTATTTATAAGAAAACCAGAAGCCCAAGACAAAGTGCCAACGGACTGTGATAGTCCTCTGGATACCCCTGATCGGTATTAGCGGGGTCTATGACCAACACGGGTGTGAGTGTGAGCGCGAGTGGGTTGTGTGTGGTGTGTGGGAGAGTGTTGGCCATAGGCTTTGCTGCTACTCGATGAAGGGTGGGGGACGATGAGAAAGGGAGGCACAGCTACTGGCAAGTCTCKGTCTTTGTGTTAGCCAGACCCCCACTGGCGGCCCCAACCCTATACCCTAACCATTAGGGGCAAGGGGCAACATGAAATCCCCCCTTCACAAAGAGAGGAAAACTATGCTTGCAGCGGTACCCTCTAGATAGTCTTAGGAGTAGGTAGTGGAAGGTAAACAAAAACAGAAGTTGAGAGAAGAATATAGACAGTTGTGATCACCCCACAACAACAACAACAACAACAACAACAACAACAACAGCAACAACAAAAAAAAGAAAAAAAAAAGAAAAAAGAACCCATAAAATTTCACCCCCAAAGCCTGATTTCAGTTTTGGACCTGTTACCCAGGAGCTGAAACTGGGGGGTCCCCGTTAACCACATCTGGAAGGGAGGATAGGACAAGTGGATTCTGTTACAACCAACCAGGTGCAGTAGGAAGATAGAGGGAATGTTGGGGTTGGAGAGTGTCCAGAAGTAGGGGGTCTCAGGTCCACCCTGACGATGTAGTCAGGGCTGTTGAGGGGGCTTTACCCCGGCTAGAACAGTAGGTTAGTATAGATTCGACGCTTTTGTTTTCCTTGCCTCTTTTTTTTGGGTTGCTTGTTGGTTTTGGCGTGTTTCTTTCAGGTTGTTCTCTGGTCAGGCCTTAGCCTACCGGACCCTTCTTATAAGGCTATGCCAAGTGTTGTTGGGGTAAAACCCACAAAACATTCAGGGTATCCCAGAGGTGACTGGTTTTATTTCCGGGTTGTTTGTGAGGAATTCCCGGCCTCATGTTTTCATGATAATGGATTCCTTGCTTTTTCCCAAAAAAAAAAAAAAAAAAAAAAAAGATTTTCAGATCGGATGAAAGGGACCCATCCATACTCGAACCCATTCCTAAACCCTCCGATTAGGGCGCGGCTGCGTCTCCGCCGATGGCATATGGCCCCGGCTGTTTGAACGCAGCAACAGCCGTCGCGGTGGCGGGTCTTTCTGTTTCTTCTTTCTCTCTCTCTCTCTTACACTGTGTGTGTCTGTGTACTCGCTGTGTTGTGTCCGAAGATCCGGACAGTTGTATTCACACTCGGCTCAAACGGAAATAGGTGAGTTCGCTGGGCGTGGCGTGGCGTGGCGAAGTGCGCCCTCCCTCCCTCCCTCCCTCCCTCCCTCCCTCCCTCATCCTTGTATCGGAGGTGTTGTGCCTGAAGAGGTGGAGAGTTCCGTTCACTCTCGTCCCATAAGTGAAATAGGTGGGTTTGCCTGGCGTGGCAACGTGCACCCTCTCTCTCTCTCTCTCTCTCTCTCTCTCTCTCTCTCTCTCTCTCNTCACTGTCGGGCCGGAGGGGTACCGCTCCACGATCCTCGGACCTGTGAATGGATCAAACGATACATCAAACACGCTATCCGTTGAAATAGCGGAAACCCAAAAGGAACGACAAAGGAAACAATCCTAGATGCGGAACAAGCTCCATGCTGGAAAAGAGATGCAATGCAAACTAAGCCGCAAGCCTAATCTATGCAACAGCTGTCTCTTATACACATCTAGATGTGTATAAGAGACAGCCCTTCCCTCTGTATCCCTCCTTCCCTCCTTCCCTCCTTCCCTCCTCCCCTCCTCCCTCCCTCCATCCGTCCATTCGTTTAGGGCAACTCCATTTTTGCGGGAGTGCTATTTTGCAAGTGGGACAGGAGTTGTGTACGGCCGGTATCGGAAGGAGTAAGCGGGGATCATGCCGTGCTGCGGAGAGGCAGGGCGAGAAGGAACGCTAGGGGGAGGTCAAGTGCCTGGTCATGCAGGCCGGAGAAGATCGCCATCGAAATCTTGAGAGGCCGGAGTAGCAGGAGAAGGGCGAAGGGGGAGGGTGAGGATGCGGGATGAGCAGGAGGAGAGGGTCAGGATTTCGTCGGTCAGGATCGGATGCGACGACAAAGGAAGCAGAAGGAGAGTCACCGGGATAGGGTGAAGCATGCGAGGGAAGTTTGCCGACGTTAAGGAGGTTGTGTAGGTGGACGACGTCGAGGAGGCTTCGAAAGTGAATGGGAGGAAAATGGGCCGCGCGAATTGGAAGGGGTTCGATCAGGATGTGGAATCGAGAGGAGGAGAAAGTCGGATTATCAGCCACTCACAGTGAGGGTGTAGGGACCAATGAAGTCTAGGCGAAAGAACGGCAATGCAAGTCGTGTAGGGGGATCTAGACAAGGTGGGGAAGACGAGATTGCAAGGCAGGAAGAGGGGCTCAGCGCGGAGGGAGGGGGAACAGGTTGTAAGGAAAGCGGAGAGCAGGATAATGACGAAGGGGTTGAATCAGGAGAGGGATAGGGTCAATGTGGATATGCAGGTGATGGAGGAGGAGAGCAATGAAGAGAGAAAGAGTGACGCACGAGAGGAAGAGACGATTGGACATACCAGATCCGCAGGGGCCACGCGGATCCCAACGGAGGAGAGAAGGGCGTGGAGAGAGACGGGAATAGAGAGGCTACAGACAGAACAAGGAGAGACGAGGATGGGGAAAAGCAGCTTGCTGTGGGGGAGGTCGGAAGGGGTGATGGACTGAGAGAGAGA